ATCCATTTTTTAAATGTAAAAATAATATATAAATCTTATGGAAAATTTTTCTCAGTGGTGGTGGCTCATATGATGAAAGAGGTGAAGAGATTAAGTTAGGTAAATGGGTGGAGTTATCAGAAGGATTTTTTAAGTGTTCCTAGGTAACAGAAAATGGTGAATATAAAATTGGTAGATGGGATATATGTTTGATTTGGGGAGAAAATAAGAAGATGTAAAAGAATATTATATGGAGCACATATAATAAACGTGTGTTAGTGGAGGCGGCTCATATGATGAAGAAGGTCAAGGAGTAAAGATAGGTAATTGGATCGAAATTTCGAATGGATTTTTTGAGTATTCTTAAGAAACATTTATTGGTGAATATCAAAATGGAAAAAAGTTTGGTGCATGGGATATTCTATATAAAGACAATTAATAAAATGTGAAAATGTAAATATAATTAGATAAAGGTTATAATATGCCGTATTTTAGTGGTGGAGGTTCATATGAAGAAGGAGGAATTAAATTTGGTATTTGGATAGAAGTGCAAGACGGGTTTAAATGGGATTCTTAAGTAACTTATAATGGAAAATATATAAATGGTCGAAAAGTGGGAAGATGGGATATATGGTATAAAGAAAACAAACAAAATTTGAAGATGTAAATAATATTATTAAAAGATTACATTACTTGCCTTAGTGGTGGTGGATGTTACGAAGAAGGAAGCAATGAGATTAAGTTAGGTAATTGGGTGCTATTGTATGATGGATTTTTTAGTAAATTTTAAGTAACCAATCGTGGAGAATATAAAAATGGTTAAAAAGTTGGTAGATGGGACATTTTTTGGAATTATAACGGATATAATACTTAGATGTAAAATAAAATTATATAAATATGCTTGTTAGTGGGGGTGGATCATATGATGATTAAGGTGATCAAATTAAATTTGGTAGTTGGGTGGAACTATGGGATAGATTTGATGGTTAGACTTAAGTAACTTATATTGGTGAATATAATAATGGTAATAAAGTTAGAAGATGGGATATTTGGTATAAAGTGAATGAAGAAAATGTGAAGATGTAAAAATATTATTCATAAATTTTTGTTAGCGGAGGTGGATCATATGATGAAAAAGGGTTAAAGTTGGGTTTTTGGATGGAAATATCGAATGGATTTAATAGGGATTCTGAAATAACTTATAATGGAAAATAAGATAATGGTATAAAAGTTGGTAGATGGGATAGTTGGTATTAGGATTGGAGAAAGGAAAAAAATGAAAAGATGTAATAAATATTTTATAAATGTGGGTTTACAAATAGTGGTGGCGGATTATATTCGGAAGAAGGTGATGGGATTAAATTAGGTAGTTGGAATGAATTGTCAGATGAATTTGGATATTATAATTAAATAATTTATATTGGTGTATATAAAAATGGAAAAAAAGTGGGGAATTGGGTAGAGATGAATATAAGGAGAAATTAAAAATGTAGAGAAATGAATTATGATAATTGAACAATATTGAAAAAATTACCATTATAATAATTAGTGGAAATATTTAGTTCTTTTAATTGGTTTTTATTAATAGAAAAATAGTTTGTTTTAAACATGAAAATTAATTGTTTTTAGTTTAATGTGTATCATGTATATTTTTAGAAATTTGGATGATCTAATTTTTATTTATCATATACAATTTCCACTATATTTATCTCCTTTATATTAAATATTAATTACCAATTTTTATTTTTTGATCTCGCTAGAAAATGCACTTTTTGTGCTGATGCGTAATTCACGTATAATTTATTATAATATTAAGTAAAATTGTATCCTAGGTTGTTAATCATCTAACTATCCTTGTAGGAAACGTTATAATGGTAATTCTTTATTAAGATAGTGCATCAAAATATATGATGAATATGTCCCCTTTTGGAGGTGTTAAAAATGATAGCTAGATCAAATATTTTAATGCTATTAATCTCATCTAAAAACATTTCTTTTTTTAATTTTGTGCTATAAATCACCTTATTATAAGACAATAAAATTATCACATTAATCAATTTTATAAATAATATTTTTCATATTTTTAAAGCTCTAAATTATAAAAAAGAGTTTGTAAAGTAATTTTAAT